AAGCACATGATTTCTATACCAGAAAACATACACAAACCAAATTCACAAGGGCACTGTCCCGTGAAAACACTACAAATCAAGTTTGCAACTGCAGCTGTGAATTGCAACATCAGATAAGTATTTGCTTTGAAGATAGTAACAGAAAGTCTTCTGTAAAACGTTTGAGAGTATTTCTCTTGAAGTATTTTCCTACAGGCACAATGGAATACTGATGATCAAGCAACATCTCTAGCTTATGGCCACACTGTTCCTTATTGCCTTTTCCTGCCTTCCTTCATCAATCACTTAAAAATGTATTTTATAGGGAGTGGTGCAGAGACCAGTTCCCACAGGAGCCAGCTCCTACTTTAGCTGCTTTCCAATGTCAAACTTCTTCTGAAGTTCCCACAGTATCATATTTTTCTTATACCAGAGTGGTGCACAGAGCCCTGTGCAGAACAACAGCAGCACAGAAGATGTCACACTTGTTTGCTGACATGCACAATGTGTCAAAACAGGAAGTGCATTATTCAGCGGCACATGAATGCTTGGTATGGACATTCAGTGCACACTCAGTGAGTCAGAGCACTCAGCTGGAAGACTGATTTAGTGTGAGATACAAGTGTTCACACTGAGTTAGTACAGAGCTGACTATTACCATTATCCATGTTTAGCTTATCATGTCAACCTTCTACTTGAAGAGTGTTTTAGACGTCAAGTAACAATCTAGAAGTGCCACATACATGTTTTTTGTGCACTGATATACTGACAGTGCATTAGATGTTGGAAGCTCTGTTACTTCTGTCCTCAAGCTCCGCCTGAACCACTTTCACTGAACAACTTTTGCTGCTGTATGTTCAAAGTTTTGACAAAAGTACTATATGGCTCATAATAACACAATCCACAGCTATGCTCAAAACCAACCTACAGTGAAGCATATAAATGGGGGGGGGAATAAAGCAGTGCAACCAATTATACAAAAAATAATCCTGCACCTTTTCTACTTCTGGGAAAAGAAGTTGACCTGAGCTGTTTGACATCTTCATCAGTGACCTAGATAATGGGTCAGAGTGCACCTCCAAAGTTTGCAGATGATACAAAACTGGGAGGAGCTGCTCATGCCAGACAGTTGCACTGCCGTTTGCAGAGGCCTCAACAGGCTGGAGAAGTGGACAAATGAGAACCTTGTGAAATTCAACAATGGGAAATGCCAAGTCTTACAGTTGGGAAGGAGCAACCACATCCACCAGCATGTGCTGGAGACCAACAACCTAGAAAGCAGCTTTGCAGAGTAAGACCTGGGGGTCCTGGTGGACAGGTTGCCCATGAGACAGTGACGTGCCCTTCCACCAAAGAAGGCCAACAGCATATCTGGGAAAACCACAGCCAGCAGGTGAAGGAAGGTGATCTTTCCCCTCTACTCAGCATAAGTTAGACCCATCCAAAGTGCTGTGTCCCGTTCTCAGCCTCCAGTACAAAAGAAACATGGACATACAGGAGTAAGTGCAGCAGAAGGCCACTGAGATAAGTAACAGAGTGAAGCATCTGACATACGAGAGGCTGAGAGCACTGGGGTTGTTTAACTTAGAGAAGAAAAGGCTCAGAAGAAGCCACATCAATTTGTATAAATACCTAATAGGGGGGGAGTAAAGGAGATGCGGCCAGACTGCTCTCAGCAGTAACCAGTAGAAGGACAATAGGCAATGGACATAAATTGAAATACAGAACATTCCATGTAAACAAAAGATTTGGTTTAAATACCATAGCACTAGAGAGGATGGAGTCTCCATCCTGGAGATAATCAAGAACAGCCTGGACATGGCCCTGAGCAAGCTGCTCTAGCTGACCCTGAGGGGAGGCTGTAAGACAAGGCTGTCTCCAGATATCCCTTCTAACCTCAGTTCCTCTGTGATTCCACAGACTCAGGATAGAAATGCATCATATGATCCTATTTTCCTCCCAGTTTCCCTCTTTAACAACCAGGTAAACATGGCATTTACATGAGAAATCAGCATTTTATTAAATCTGCTGCCACCATTTCCCCTGCCACAGCTGCCAGCAAGAGAAGCCAAACAGCAGCTCTGAAAAGGTGCTCAGACATTCTGTGCTTCTACAGCTCTCCTTCTGATCGGCTGTTTCTGAAAGCAGTTGCAGTCCAGCTAACCCTGAACTGTTTGCCAGTGAAGAGCCCAGATAAGAATATTTTCACAAGTGATCATCCCTGCTTTCAGGCCTTCCACTTTCAGGGTCTTACTCCATACAGTTTGCTAGTTCAGTTTAATGATTATTCATACTTCTAACAATATGAATGAATTATCTGGCTTCCTGTCATCACCTGTTTATTAGCGTTTCAGCTAAGAACTACGGTAACAATGTTCGCATTCAGTCATTTTTAAGTTGTCAGCTTTCATGTTACATATTCTCAGATGAGACCAGCACGGTTCTCTATTAGAAGCCTTTTTAATTAAAAAAAGGGAAAAGAGCACTTTAAAGGAAGAATAGCTGGCAACCACTTGTCCTTGAGAAGGGACTGGATTGAGGGAAATCCTCAAGTAGTACTTTGTACACTTAAATAGCTTCCCTAAATGCAGCTGAACAAGTCTATTTACTTCTGCTGAGCTGAACTGTTGAAGAATGGCGGAAGCATTTCCACTCCTGCAGCAACTACAGTTTAGCTATGGAAAAGGGATTACCCTTTGCAGTTTTAAGCAATCTTTTACATGAAAGGCACTCTGTGGAACATACTGCAAATGTAGAACTATTGCACAACTATTATCTAGTGATGTTGGCATGAGGAAGCTTGAGGGAGGAAACAGGAAGGATATAAACACAAGTCTCCAATCTTTTACATTTTACTCACATCAGGAAAAATCACCAGCATCCAGAGCGCCAAGAGAACCATCTGAGCTACTGTGTTGGTGGACAAAATGAAGAAAAAAGTAGAAATTCTATGGATTCATTTCTCACAGTGCTGGAATAAACTGGAAATGAAAACTCACAGAGGCTCAGTTCCACATAAACTTGTAGGCACCTGCCTCCTGATGAACAAAATGGGATTTGATCTCAACTTACTTTGGTAGACTTTAGCCTTAGTGCTCATTTCTCCCTGCTGCTTTTTCACCTCCACCACCAAAAGTGTTTTGATACATGACTCACAGTTAAGAGCATTTAAGAGGACATATTCAAAGATTTGAGCAGACACTGTTCTGACAGGTTTTTTTTAAACAATGAAAAATGCTATTAAAGGTTAGAGGAACAACCCAGAAGTTGAATGGGTGCTGCGAAGAATCAACAAACATTACCTTTGCTAGGAAATTAAGAGTTTCAGCGCAAGGATGTCTCACCCTCGTACTATTTAGCTTCCCAACTTTACAAACAACATTCCATTCTCTCATGTATATTTTTGTTGAGATTTTTCAGGGAAAAAGAATGCTTGTGGAAATAAAAGAATTAGTCCAAAATACTCTCTACCTTTTAAATGCCTGGCACTTTGACAACTCATCTTAAGACATACGCAGCAAAACAAAACCTCACTGATCCTCACTGCCAGTAATTTTTCAGGAATGCAACAAGCAAAGCTGTGATAACAACTGGAATACATCTAAAACACAGTCTTAAAAAGATCTTAACTTTAAATGCCTTCACAGTGTTCTGGCTGTGGAAAGTGCTAGAGTGCTCTTCATAGCTATTTTAAATTTTAAGCTTGATGCTGTCAGCTGCAAAGTACTCCAAGATGACAGAAAGAAGCCTTCAGAAGTAAAATGGGACACTTTGTCCTTCTGTTTCTTGGACCTTAGAATGAAACTAGGAGAGTGGAGAAGGAGGATATACAGAAGAACAACACGGCTAAAAAGCCTGCAAAACAAACACCGCAAAGAGCACACAATGCTCAATGTGTGAAAGTACAGCACGATCTTGGCACAGCAAAGTTTACTTTGCATAAACATCTTCTATAGATAAATGTTGATATGCCAACATGAGAGACATTTAAATAAGCATTTTGCAACAGAGATCCTTCTCCTAGCTGCCTTCCACAGTTATCACTATTTATGTGGTAGACCTACTGCCTACACAAGACTTCAAACAAAGGTTTCCATTGATTCCTAGGAGCATCATCCTTCCAGTTGAACAGTTCTCAGAGGCGATGACCTTAACGCTCAACATCGAGTCCTTCATTTGCTTTACAATACCTAGTTAAAGCCAAAGACCACCTATGCGGTCTTGGGAAACTACCAGCCTCCAGTCAGACCTAGGACCTTAACGAACACCCCATGCTTTTACCAAACTGTAAGTACTCCGCTTATTCGCCTCCACAGGCCTCCAGTCTTTCCCAATGCGTTTGTCCCTCTTTATGTTTTAAGCTCATCTCCATCTTTGGGGGGACCAAGAAGCCAGGGAACCATATTCTACTACCACCTCCACTCCCTCCCCTTTCACACGTCTCCTAACAACGCCACGTAGATTCTGCTGATCATCTGGGATGAGCATTTAAAGAAACCCTCGGTCTTCTCGAGCCATCATCATCACTCACACGCCCCTACACCCTCTCTCCCCCAAGCCCCACTCCCCTCTCACATCACCCCTCGCCACAAGGACCTCACTTCTCCCCCGGCTTTGACCGGCTCCTACAAGCCCTCAACGACCCTTTTTGTGTCCCCAGCGAGGCCGGGGGCCTCCCCTTTCACCTCAGGGCACGGAGACACCCGTGGAGAGCGGCATATTCCAGGCACGTCCCTCTCCCTCAGCGGAGGGGGAGGGGACGGGAGCAACCGTAGCGACAGAAGCCGAGACACCAAGCGGAGGAAATCAGGGACGGGCGGGCAACTACGTGGTGGGAATCCCTCCCCACCCCAACCCCGGAGGCTCCTGAGGCGGGGAGCGGGACGGAAGGGGGGGGGAAGCTAAGGAAGACCAGCTTGCCAAACCCCCATCTCCCTCTTCAGCGCTGCTCCGACGGGACACTAACGGCTTTACCCTCCCTTCCTCCGTGCCAGGGGAGGAGAAGGAGGCTTGGCACCCACCTTGAGAGTGGGATACTCCTGCACCTTCAAAGTCATTGAGAGCTGAGCAGCTGATTCCTGCACCGCCATCTTGGATTGGGCACCGACCTCCTCCCTCCTCCTCCTCCCCCGCCCTCCCCCAGCCCGGACCGACGGAGCTACCTACGGGAGGAGGGAGTGAGTGAGAGTCAGTGAGGCGCAGGCGGCGGGAAGAGGTTTAAATAGCGGACACAGCGTGAGTCCCCTTTCCCTTAGTTCCCTCTCCCCGGTGCCGGGCTCCCCGCCCGTGCTCGCCGCCGCGCTCCCTCAACCGGGGCAGGCAGAGGCGCCCGGTGCCGCATCCCTTCCCCAGCCCACCGCGGAGCCGCTTGCCCTCACTGCTGAGGGGGGGCGGCCCTCAGTCGCCTCACGCCGCCAGGGTGGGGGGAGGCCGCGGCGGGTCCCGCTCTCGGGTGGCCCCGCGCTAAGTTTCCCGAGGTGAGGCGAGGCGAGGCGCGGGGCGGGAGCCGCTCCCTCCCTCCTTCTCTCCTTCAGCAACCGGCCCGGTCTCGCCTTCCCCGCGGGGCAGGGGGGTGGGGAGTGGAAGGGGGTTGGCTCCCGGCCGGCCGTTGAGAAGCGTGCCCGGCAGCTTGTCCCGCCGGCCCAACGTCCGCCTCCCCTTCCCTGGCCGGGAGGGTGCAGCAGCCCTGCAGCTACTTCGGGGAGCGGGGAGAAGACATGAACTCCCACCCCGCTGCCCTCGCCTCCGTGCTGGGCACGGAGCTGCCGCCGCCCCCCGCACTGATCACCCGCCGGTGCCGGCGAGCGCCACGCTTTTAGAGCCGCGGGGTGCAGTTGTTTCTTCTTTCGTTATTTCTTGCGTTGGTCGGGTTTGCCGGTGCCCAGCTGTATCTGGAAGGAGTTGTGGATCTTTCCAGCCGCAAGGGCTTGCTTGTCTTGCTGACCTCTGTTCAGTCCCTGCGAGCGGTCCACGGGAGTTGGTGGGCCGTAAGGTGAAAAGCACTGGTTGAAAGGAGCGGTGATTCCTTTGCTGAGCATACGTGAATGTTTCGGTACTAAAACCAAGAGGGTTGATCCTGCAGACTGTCTCTACTTGTGTGTCTGAGGGAATAAAATCACTTTTTGGAGTGTTAATCCCCGGGCTATTGACATGAAAGCTGGTTTCTTGGGAATGTGTAGAGGGCAGTGTCAACCATAACACATAACCCTCTGAAGGAAGCCCTCTGTGAAGCTTCTCACTGTGCTTTGGGTACCTCAGTCAAACGGGAGGCACTTTGTCAGATCTTTAAGCTCTGAGTTCTGAACCATAACTAAGTGAAAACGTACTGATCGGAAGCTGTGCATGCAGCAATACGAACTTGCCTCTGTTGAATTCAGTGGCAAAAGTTGTTTCTCAATGCAGGTGCTTGCTGTTGTCAGCAGGTATGTTTCAGGTAGTGTGCTGTTGTGGTTTTCAGGCTTTAAAGAGCCCCCCAAACCTGTATCCATTGATGTGGCTTGTTTTCTGTCTTTCCTAAACATTGTGGTTATGTTATTTCTGGTCTGCAGAAGACTGTAGAAAAAAATAAACACAACTATTTGCGGGAAGGTAAAACACAGGTAATACATGTAATGGTTTGAAAGAGCAAGTCCTATTTAACAACTGTGTTTCTTAGAATATTCAGTAACATTATTTATTGCCAATGTGCATGGGCCCTGTTGCAGGGGGAGCATCTGTCCACCACAAAGAGCTGGTGATAAATAAAAGTGTCATGTACTTGAGGGTTAGATTCTCTTCAGTTTTTGACTACAAACTGTTTACTTGTGTTTACTCTGAGCATTCAGTCGGGTACTGAACATCATCAGCAAATGTATGTCTAAACATAATTTGCCAAGCCCAAACCAAGTGCAAAGCCTTTGTTTAAAAAGTATATTAGTAAAACATTTGTGTTAGTTACACCTGGGATTAACATTCATGTCTAGACTTGATCTTGGGGCCAGATTCTGCAAGAGGATTTGTGTAATGAGGATTTTTGACTCCATTAAGGCTCTGTGCAGGGAACGGTTCACCTGAGCTTGTCAAGTAGGGGACTGAAAACTTAGTTGTTGCTGTATTTACAAACATCATTATGTGACATTGTAAATCCTTCCAGTTGCCTCTGTCTTAAATGTTTTGTAAGCTAATATTTGGAAGGAAATATGCTGTTCAGTATTCCATATCATTGATGTTGCAGAACAGCTTGAACATGACAAACTTCATGCCTGTGATGCTTACAGGGACTGAAGAACTGTGATTTCCCATGTAATTTACTAAGTCATGGATGTATTTGTCCACTTATGTTTTGTGTAATCTCTTAACGGTCCTTTGTGACAAAACTAGCTAATTTAATGTGAAACAATTTTGGATACAGGTTATGTGCTCAGACTGTATCTGTCTGTAAACTGCAGAATTATTGGTGAAGGATTGTCAGACATTGGTAGCCAAAGTTAAAGGCTTTGCTTAATGGAACAGATGGCCAAGCAACTATCATGTCAGAGAAAACAGCATGTATTCCGTGTATTCTTAGTTTAACACAAGAGGGAGCATGTCTAATCTTTAACCTTTAAATGCTGCAACTTCAGAGAGGAAGCTTTACGTGCGGAGTGTCGGCTAATTTATGTCTGGGCTCCATGTGCAAATATTGATACAACCTATACATATTTCTGGCATGTTTTCAACTTTAGGTTGCAGCTGTTAATTTATAATACAAATGTTGGTGTGATAAATGTGGAGATAAGAAATAAGCTAATGATATTTTGAGCTTGTTAAATCTGTAGTTTCCTGCTGAATTTAACAAAATATTTATGGTTATTTTGTTGGTTTTTTCAGCTATGGTTATTCATATACTGGGTTTGTACTTTGTTCTTTAATATTAGGTTAATAAATGTCTTCTGCTTAACCTACCATACTAAGTTCTAAAGCTGAGACTTCATTTAATTAAATTTAGTTTAATTACCAAGTCAACTTTGCTTTTACAGTCTTATAAATTCTCCTGTGTTATCCTTAAATAGGAACTACGCATTCGGGTCTACTAAGGGGGTTTGTGTACAGCATCTTGTTTATTTTTCCTTGTCCCCTACTGGTGTAAAAGGAAGAATAAAAATGAGCTTCCGTTTTGTATTTCTCGGCATTGTCCATTTGAATCAGAATCTATTAATGCTTGTCCTCGTGTAGTGTCTTATTAATGGGAAACAGCAATTAGTTAAAATTAAGCAGTGTGTACAGAATACTCCAAACCTTTAGGAGAACATTGCTTATTTGGTGGTATCTTAAAAATGTTTCCAGTAGTCTTCCGCTTTGCTCCAGATTAATGATTAGAGAAGAACATCTGTCTGCCATTAAGCACTGCATGTAGATATTATGTCTTTCAAAAACATAACTGTATGTTATTTGGTGGAGCAAAGCAGAAACCTTAGGGCTCTGCTTCCATGTGCCAAAGAAAACTGCTGTGGATGGAGATTTTTCTATGCTTGCTTCTCTTCCCTCTTTGTGGACATTCTGACCTTTTTGCTGGGATCGCAGAAGTGACTAAGAGTCACCATCATTTCTTGGTTTAGTAGCAGAGACTGGCATAAGACAGTGATACAAAGTCCTGTGTTGGATCAGGTAGGAGAACAGGTTGTGCCACTGGCCAGAAGAGCAGTCTTCCTCTGAGCAGATGGGTGGCGATTGTGCTGTCCATCTTAAAATGGACAAGTAGAAGCCTCCACTATATTCTTCTGGTGACTTAGGATGGTTGTGAAATATTTAGGACCTTACCTTTAATCTATGGTATTTTTTTTTCTGGATAATAGAAGAATTTTTGTTAATTTTTAACTACTACTGTGCACAGCATTGACAGGTTAAGGTGTTCCTATGAAAGCAGCTTGCCTTCAACATCTGCCAGGCAGCTGCCTTTGTATGACAGAAATGCACAATGACCTGTACTAATATTAGATACCTTGAGAGAGGTACTCAGTAACTGTTCTGACTTTTAGAAGATAATGAGGATGAGACAATTCCTACTGGGGAAATTGTTGCTTTACTGAGTTTCATTAGATCTACTAGTTTACTCTCCAGGGAGTCATAAACTGCAAATTCCTGTTGAAATGAGTGCTGTGTGGCCAAGACTGGTGACTGCTGCAGCAGGAGCATCTACAACCAGAGAGTTTATTTGACTTGTGAATGTAAAAGTACTCAGACCTCCAGGTCTCCTGTATAAAGCCTATAGTTAACTTACCCTGTTGCTGTAAAGGTGACCAGCAAACACTGAGTGGTCTAGAGATGCAAAGGACTATGTTGATAGAAAAGTGTTGCTAGAACACTGACTGTATTCTGCCCTCAAATACCAGCCCCAAGACACCTGCAGTCCCATACAGTCCAAGCAAACAGATCAGACCAAGCAGTGGAACGGGGAGCCCAGGAAGTAGTGGAGTCCACATCCCTGGGGGTATTTAAAAGGAATGTAGATGTGGTGCTTAGCGACACGGTTTAGTGGTGGCCTTGACAGCGCTGGGTCAACTGTTGGACTTAATGATCTAAAAGATCTTTTCCAGCCAGAAAGATTCCATGAGTCTTATCCACAGCAACCAAATGTTTGTAATGGATTGCTCTGTTTTAGTGGATGCTACTTGATTTTCTGTACTATGTATGCAACAGTAGTGTGGAGTGAGAAATTCAGAGCAGAGGGATGCGTAACTTGATGAATTGATACATTGAGTTGTAAGGATGGAATGAACTGCCTGTTGTCTTGACTATTCCCTATCAGTCAAAAAGGGGCAAAATTTAGGCTTTGATTTTCTTGCCCAGCAGACTTCAGGCGATTGCACATTTTTGACATTAAATGCCTATTTTTTTACCTTAGAAGAAAGTAGTATTATGACTAGAGTTTTTCTGGTTTTGGTATTGTAACTTTAAGCTTATAACTGAAAAGTGTATTAGTGCATCTGGCTTATGTAAATAGCCTGGAGAAACTGGTGGTTTTATTTCTGTATCTGAAAAGAAATTACCAAGAACGTAAAAAACCCAACACGCAAACAAAAAAGCCTCCCCCCCCAACCAAACCCCAGCGATTAACAGCAGCAGGAGGGAGTGTCCTGGTGTGTCACAGTTTAGAGCATCCTTGTAAAGCCCGAATTGCAGATCAA